CGACTCGGCGGTGCGGGCGGCTCGGCTGCTGGGCGGCTCGGTTGCTGGGCAGCTTGGTTGCTGGGCGGCTCGGCTGCTAGGCGGCTCCGCTGCTGGGCGGCTCCGCTGCTGGGCGGCTCGGCTGCTGGGCGGCTCGGCCGCTGGGCGGCGTGGCTGCTGGGCGGCTCGGCTGCTGGGCGGCTCGGCTTCTGGGCGGCTCGGCGGCTGGGTGGCTCTGCAGCTCGGCTGCTGGGCGGCTGGGCTGCTCGGCGGTTCGGCTGTAGGGCGGCGCGGCGGTCGGCTGCTCGGCTGGGTATGGCGGCTGGGGTAGCTCGGGTGGCGGGCGGCGCTGCAGCAGGCGACGGGGCCGCAGGTAAGGGCGGCGGGGCTGCAGGTAAGGTGGCGGGGCCGCAGGTAAGGTGGCGGGGCCGCAGCGAAGGGCGGCGGGGCCGCAGGTAAGGTGGCGGGGCCACAGGTAAGGTGGCGGGGCCGCAGCAAAGGGCGTCGGGGCCGCAGGTAAGGTGGCGGGGCCGCAGGTAAGGTGGCGGGGCCGCAGGTAAGGGCGGCGGGGCCGCAGGTAAGGTGGCGGGGCCGCAGCAGCAGGCGACGGGGCCGCAGGTAAGGGCGGCGGGGCCGCAGGTAAGGGCGGCGGGGGCGCAGGTAAGGTGGCGGGGCCGCAGTGAAGGGCGGCGGGGCCGCAGCAAGGTGGCGGGGCCGCAACGAAGGGCGGCGGGGCCGCAGGTAAGGGCGGCGGGGCTGCAGGTAAGGTGGCGGGGCCGCAGGTAAGGGCGGCGGGGCCGCAGGTAAGGTGGTGGGGCCGCAGCAGCAGGCGACGGGGCCGCAGGTAAGGGCGGCGGGGCCGCAGGTAAGGGCGGCGGGGCCGCAGGTAAGGTGGCGGGGCCGCAGCGAAGGGCGGCGGGGCCGCAGCAAGGTGGCGGGGCCGCAGCGAAGGGCGGCGGGGCCGCAGGTAAGGGCGGCGGGGCCGCAGGTGAGGGCGGCGGGGCCGCAGGTAAGGGCGGCGGGGCCGCTGGTAGGGTGGCGCGCCCGTAGGTAGGTGGCAGGGCCGCGGGTGAGGGCGGCGCGAGGGGCCGCGGAGGTCGGCGGCGTGTCGTTACGGGCGGCGCAAGGGCGGCGACGGGCCGCTGAGGGTGGCGACGGGCCTCGTAGGGCGGCGTCAGGCCGCGAAGGGCGGCGACGGGCCGAGTAAGGGCGGCGCGAGGCCGCTAGGGGCGACGCGACGGGGCCGAAGGAGACCTAGGACGGGCGTGACGGTAGAGAGGGCACACGAGGCGCGACTCGGGCCTAAGCGAAGTGCGCTCCAGGCAGGAAAAAAAAAAAAAGACTTGGTGGGCCCTAGGAACAGTTCCCACGAGGGAACCTGCTCGATACCATGAGAAGAAACGAGAATGAATGACTAAGGAATGAAAGTGATACAAGTATGCAACCCTAGCATTGTGTACCCCATATAGGCTACCCCACTACAGCCTACACAACATTATAATTTGACAGGGACCCCTTCGATGCGCGTGTCAGAAGGACCCCAAAAATAATCTGAAACGTGTAAAGCAAGAGTGAAGTTGGGGAAGTGCCATATGGTGAAACGTGTACTCCATTGATTTGGTCGTAGTTTCAAACTTTTTTTGTTGATAGATTGCCACATCAACATCTGGTGTCGGCTACTAGACCAATGACAACGAAGATCTGGAACCTCTTAACAGTGTGTGGCGCGAAATGCTCTCATTTGACACTTCCATGTACCTATAGTGCTACCCAGCCAGTCAAAATTATGGTATGAATTAAAGATCGGGGGAAAGCAACGTTACTTGGTTTTATGAACACATGGGTGGAAGCCGCTGTAATCGCCAAGACTGGGTTACTGCCTTTTGCGTCTAAAGAGAACGCTTCAACCTACGACTGGGGATTTCGCTGCATATACATTTATTCCTCCCACAAAGTAATTATTAAGAATGTTTACGTTCAGAGAGCCCCAACCTCCCATCAGACACAATCAGTAGGTTCGTTAGTACGCATGACGCCTATTTCTCTCACGCCATCATTTTCGACACTTGGAGGATACCACGAGCATGACATTTTGCGACGCTTCGTCAAATTTGCCACAGGCATTAACGGGCTATAAACAATCACCCATATAACGCGGATGATATTTTTGCAACAGTGTGGGGTGGCTAGGTTTGTTGTACATCGGAAACCGGGGGGTGGTATGACAAGGTTGGGGCTTCTCACCCAATTGTTTCAATATTTCGGACCTACCCGGGACGCAAATCCGTTCGTTTTTTTGTTTCTTTATATTGTTTGTGATTATAATTACTTTAATTATTATTACCAGTATTATTATTAGTATTATTATTACTATTATTGATATTGTTATTATTGTTATTGTTATTATTATTATTATTATTATTGATAAGTATATACTGATACAGTTAAGCATATTGTTATTATTATTGTTATTATTATTATAATTGCTATTATTATTAGTACTATTATTATTATTTTTGATAAGTATATACTGATACAGTCAAGCATATACCACCAAAACGGTCGTAACCGTGGAGGAGGAACAGTAGGCTAGCTACTCTTCTATGTGAGTTGCATAGGGCGAATTGTTGCATGCCCTCCGTTTGGACCAAAATGCGGCGAACGCATTTGTCCACATCCAACCTCTACCATCCATCTAAATTCTCCTCAGCGAAATTTTCTTGCGGTCGCATCTTCCTTTTTGCCCCCATTTTCCCCATGAAGATCCTTGCGTAAGTCTGAAAACGGACTCCGCCTTTCACAAAACTCGTTGCGTCCGAAATTTATGCCCCCGAAAAACTGCTTCACACCTCTCAAACCACAGTTGATGTAGGACCACCGACGTGAGAGTCGGCTCCGGAAAAGATGACCCAGTGCCAGTTTTCCGGAACAGGTGTCCCCCATTGAGGTTGTTGAACAAGGATGATTCAAGATGCGCAAGGCGCGTCGGAGGGCCGAGGTGACCACCTTTATTCTAGGGCAGAGGAGGAGGTAATGCTGCTGTGTTTCAGACTCCCCACAAAACGGGCAGGTTGGTTACTGTTGATGGAAGCCAACCTCTCCCCCACTTGTAAATGTAAGACTATGGATTCGGACTAGAACATCCCGCGGACGGCTGGGAACAGCCAAGGAGTCCCGTGTTGCTATCACCTTCTAATCGATGTGATTCTCCTACCTCAAACCCCGAATTCGCTGCTTGTTTGATTGGCTGTAGGTCCCCTTCCACCCCTCCTTCATCCGTTTCATGGAGACCACATGCCCCCTCTCCAAAATTGGCACCAGCGGAGATGAGTCAGCTACGCGTTGGGGACAGTTGGAAAACCAAGTAATCTCTGCCAGTGAGACGAGGTAGCTAGTGTTGCCTTCACCGCTAGCTTCGCCGGCCCGTTTCCTCCCAGCTCTTACTCTTGTAAACGATGTGCGGTTGCCCGTCGAGAAACATGAAACGGACGGCATCGAACAAGGGATCGGCACATGTATGCGATTAGGTTGGGCATTGTGTGTATGTTTTCTGGACAGCATCTGAAAAGTAACCAACGAGTAGCTCCACGGAAGGCTTGGATCAACCCCAATTTCGGGATGTATCATATATGGTTTGGAAGCAAAACTTGATCAACTCAGGATGCATCGCAACCAAGGCTGAGAGAAAACGTTCGGGAATGGATGTCAGACCCCGATCAGGCAAGATGGGTTTCTTTAGTTTCATGAATGTGAAGAGCTCGGTGAGAAGTTGGCGAGCGTCCATGCGGCGGTCGCCGCGCATGTGAACGGTTCTATGTACGCGATACGCCAAGTCGCGCCAATTCTTGCACATTAGCACATGCCGGAACATGTCGAACACAGAAGCTAGAAGGGTAATTTTGCGAGCAAATCGTCAAACAAACATTCGATTCGAGAGTTGTGTCTCATACTAATCAAGTTATGGCAAATAGAAGGTAAGGGGTATCAGAGCTAGATAGCCAGATTTGTTATTCAATGTATGGTATACCGCAGTATAGCCTACAATAACATGTGTGCATACTATGACACACCCCCATAGGCGAAGTGGGGAACAAAAAGCAGGCACAAGACCAGTCAAGAGAAGCAAACAAAACAAAGCTTAGGGTGGATCTCAATATCACCACGCAGTTCGAGCACAAGCAAGCGGCCACAAGGCCAACTCACATGCAAAGTTATCATATCAATGGCAGTACACTGTTCACAACCTAGCAAGTGTAGATATATAGCAGTGTACAATAAAGGCAAAGCTAGATCAAGAAACAAGCAAGTGAGGAAGAGTGGGCACAAGCCCAAGAGCAGTGCAGAAGCGCTGTTGATCACCAGACCCGGGGACCTTGGTGAAGATATCAATAGTGTTGACCTGTGAGGCCACATAAACAAGGCGATGGTAACCACGCTGCTGTAGCTCCCAAGCAAGAAAGTAACGAAGAAAAACGTGCTTCATTCTGTGGTCCGGCCTCTGTGAAAGTAACGAAGAAAAACATGGTATCTGAGAGAGCAGACTCACCAGCACCTAGGGCAGCAGACTCACCAGCACCTGGAGCAGCAGACGCACTAGCACCTAGAGCAGCAGCCTCACCAGCACCTAGAGCAGCAGCCTCAATGCCCGGGTCAGGCGGAACACACAGGTAAAAGTCACCCTCAACACTAGTAGACACAACATACATGGCAGCAAGAATAGCATCATAATCAAGATCAAAGATAGCAACCCCCGACCTAAGCAGCTCGACCCAGCGGGGGGTCTCAGTGGCGTCAGGGAACTGGAGACGCCAAGCGTCCGTCAGGCGGCTGAAGTAGCGCTAGGTGGTGTGCGGGCCACCGCACGGCTCACCAGTGCGGTCGCCGGTACGCAAGACAAAGGCACAGGGACCAGCACCCCCACCCCGCTGACGCGCAGCGTACGACTCACGAAGCTGCTGGGGGGGCGGGGTCTCACGAGTGCGCTGCTGCTGCTGGCGCTGACCACCACCAAAGCCGCCCCGCTACACAGAGCCACCCCGACCAGCTCCACCGCCGCTGCCGCCACCGCCGCCACCGCCGCCTCCTCTGCTCCCACCGCCACTGCCGCCGCCGCCTCCGCCGCCACCGCCGCCACCGAAGCCCCCACCCCCGCCACCACTCCCACCGCCACCCCCACCACCTCCGCCACCTCCACCGCCACCTCCACCGCCCCCGCCAGCTCCTCCAGCGCCCTTGCCCCCCTTGCCCTTGCCGTTGCGGCGTCTCCCGCTAGGGGCAGACGCAGCGCCGACCGACTCGGTGCCAACGAGGTCGACATCAGAAGCAGAGGCAACAGAGGGCAAAAGGGGGGAGGGGGAGCACCCCTCAAAGAAGGGGGCACGAGGGTCACCACGAGAGGCTCCTACAGCGACTATACTCTTCTCAGCTGCAAGGAGGCGCTCCTCAAGGAGGTCAACGGTGAGTGTGGTGGGGCAAACAGAGAGGAAGTGGACCCTGACCGAGCAAAGGGAGTCAGGGAGCCGGGTGACTAGGTAGTAGAGGGTGATGTACATGGGGGGGTGGGGTTCTTGGTGCAGAACTCAGCAGGAAGCGCAACGCGTTAGCGGGTGTCACTAGTGCGGAGGTGCATAATGAGGTCAGCGACTGTGGGAAAGGCGGCGAGGTCAGGGAACAGGTACAGCAGCATGAGGCGACTAAGGGCAGCAGTGGCAGGGGAAGAGTAGCGTGCAACTGCAGCGTCGTACAAGTTCTTAGCACTCTTGTACTGACTAAAGTGCGCGCGCTCAGTGGACGGCAGGTAACTACGCACAGCAAGACGGGCAGCAGCATCGCGTGTGGCCCACTGTGAGCGAACAGTACTGTCAGCATCGGCAGTAGGGGCAGTAGAGGCGCGAGACGTGAGATCGAACAGTGAGAGACCATCTTTTCTATCGCACTGCAGGAAAAGCTGCAGGTCATCGACCCAGACCTCAAAGTCGACTGCCCGACCCTCAGCATCAAAGGTGAGCACATTGGGGGTAGCCATGACAGCAGCAGCAGCAGGCTAGCTGCAGCAGCAATAGGAGGGGCGCAGCTCGGCAGTGCGCTTACCAGGGGCGGGTGGGTAGAAGTCCACAAGTGGCGGGGCAGGGCCGAGGTGCGCCGGCAGGAACAGGGCCGCGACAGGGCGGCAGAGGAGGGGCCGCGCCTCGGCTGCAGGGTAGGGCCGGGACGGCGGCGGCGGCTGTCACGGCAGTGGCAGCGGCGATTGTCTTAGCAGCAGCGGCGGCGGCTGTCATGGCAGCAGCGGCGGCGGCGACCGGCCGTGGCGAAAGCAGCAGCGGCAGCAGGCGCGACGGCAGCTGCTGCTGGGGCGGCGACGACGGGGCGGCAGAGCCGTGAAGAGCCGGGGAGGGGCCGCGAAGGGGCCGCGAAGAGCCGCGGAGAGCCGCGAAGGGGCCGCGGAGGGGCTGTGAAGAGGCCGCGAAGGGCCGCGAAGGGCCGCGGAGGGGCCGCGAAGGGGCCGTGAAGGGCGGCGAAGGGGCCGAGAAGGGGCCGCGAGGGGCCGCGAGGGGCCGCGGAGGGGCCGCAAAGGGGCCGCGAAGGGCGGTGAAGGGGCCGAGAAGGGGCCGCGAGGGGCCGTGAGGGGCCGCGAAGGGCCGCGAGGGGCCGCGAGGGGCCGCGAAGGGCCACGAAGGGGCCGCGAAGGGGCGGCGAAGGGGCCGCGAAGGGCCGTGAGAGGGGCCACGAAGGGCCGCGAAGGGGCCTTAAGGGGCGCGACGGGCTGCTAAGGGCAGGGAACACGACGGGAGGGCAGGCGCACGGGGTGCGACTAGGGCAGGCGCGAAGCGCGCTCCGGGCAGGTAAAAAAAAAAAATCGTTATAGTTGTGGGCCCTAGAAAAACGTTCCCACTAGGGAACCTGCTCTATACCATGTGAAATAACGAGGAATGAAATGACTAGGCAGAATGTGGGTACAAGTAGGAAACCTAGAAATGTTGTACCCTATAGTGTCTACCCCACTACAGCCTAGATAAACCATAGCATATAAGTTTGACAGCCTCTTCTCACAACACAACGCAATCATGGCCTTATTGTCGAGGGCTGGGTCTCCTGGTCGTCGGCTTAAAAGGCGTCTAAGTGCCTTGTGAGAACAACTCAACCCCGTCCTCCAAGCACAAGCCCCATTCCCGACGTACTGCACAAGTAACAACCCTCTATGCAGCCCAGTAGTGCTCATGGCGGTGTCTCCTGGGCGCAACGAAGTGCGCCAGGATGCTGAGAGGGCACGCGAGGTCTGGTCAAGTGCAGTCCATCAGGTAGATGATGCAGCCCACAAGCTCTGGATATGGACCACTCGGCTCTACGGAATTGTCCGAAGGTGGAGCTGAGAGCGAGAGACCCAGGGGAGGAGTGGGATATGGCAAGGAGAACTAAAAGCAGAAGCTCCGAAGGACCTGCTGCACCATGTGTGACTGAGTTAGAGTGATGGTGCGCGCTGCTCTGGTTCAGGTGATCTGCAAGCCAAGATAGTTGTGCAACTCACTTAGGTCACTACACGTGTGTCTCTTCTCCAGTTAAACCTTCACCAGGGTTAGTGCCTCAGTGTTAGTAGTAGAAAAAACCAAGTCGTCAACGCACACAAGGACGTAGAACGGTGGCAGAGGTAGTTCGGTGCGCAGAAACAGCGAAGGGTCAGCAGTGGACAGATCAAACCCAAGAGCCGCAAGTGTCGTCGTCAGTGTGTCGTGCCACTCGTGGGGCACCTGGTGGAGACCATAGACTAGCCATCGGAGGCTCCACTGGGTACCCTTAGGAAACGACCCAGTGAAGCCAGGTGGGCGGTGCAGCCAAATCTCCTCGTGAAGACTGCCCTACAAGAAGGCTGTGGAGAATTCAAGAAAATGAAGCTCATAGTCACGTTGTGCTGCAACGTGCCGTAACATCCGATGGGTGGTCATCTTCAGGGTGGGGAAGAAGGTCTGGAAGAAGTCGACCCATTGTCGCTGGTCGAAGCCTCGTGCAACGTAATGCGCTTGAAGACAGGCGAAGAACCCGGCAGCTGCTTCACCATGAAGATTCACATCCCATTGACTATGTTCGCCCTAGGAGGGGAACTGCGTCGACGTAAGTGCATGTGGACTTCCAAAATTTCTGCGTCCATGGCTATCTCTCACTGAGAGGAGTACTGACCCGAGATCTCCTCTGCGTGAATGCGTGCGGTCGGGATGTATAGTGCATCCGAGTCTCCCTCAGGAGTTAGTAGCATGGTAGCGAGATTAGGTATAGCAACCGCAAAGCACTCGAGCTCAAACTACCTGTCGTCAAGGACATCAAGACCAAGGGCTCGGACATAAAAAGGACAGTCTGACTCAGAAACTAGAATTGCAGCGTAGTTAAGGCGGCATGTAGCAGCAAAGTGAACAAGCTCAGCGATAAAGAGAGACACAACAGGAGACGAAAGTGCAGGGTCAGTCACAAGCATGTCTAGAAAACAATCGGACTGGCAGCACGATGAGGTTCATACACAGGGTGAGCAACAACAGGGAGAGAAGATGCAGGAGGCAAAGGAAGGACAACACGCTGCGGAATAGAGGAAGGACGAAGTGCCGTGGTGTGAGTGCCGGGGACAAGTGGAGGGCGAGCATGAGGAGCACGAGGCATGATAGGACGCGACGCAAGCTCTCTCCTCTTTGTCAGGAATTCTGTCACCTCAGTATAAGGAGGAGTAGGCAGGGGGGAGTCAGCCAGTAACAGAGTTTGAGATGAGTCTCGCGGTGAACACAGTAGAGGAGTAAGGTTAGTGGAAGATGGAAGACTAAGAACTTGGCCAAGTGCCGAGTCAGGTGGCGGCAGCGTCGACTGCGGCTGAGGCAAGAAAAACGGTCGCTGCTGCGCTGTACCCACAGTTTAAGAACCTCCATCTCTAGTACCTCCAGCACCTCCAACTCCTGTACCTCTAGCACCTCCAGCACCAGCGCCTCCAGCACCTCCAGCTCCAGTACCTCCAGTACCAGCGCCTCCGGCTCCTCCAGCTCCAGTACCCCTAGGACTAGCGCCTCCAGCACCTCCGGCTCCAGTACCTCTAGCACCAGCACCTCCAGCACCAGCACCTCCAGCACAAGTAGCTCTAGCTCCATCACCAGAGCGGCCTCGCCGAAGAACCCAGTTGCGAAGCTGCTGCGGCGAGAGAGTCTCCGGCCGATGAGACTTCCGCTGCTGTCCACTCCCAGCACCTCCACTAGGAGCACCCACGACTCCACCATTACTTGGAATCTCAGCACCCCTAGAACTAGCACCCCCAAACTCAGCACCCCCACAGTCCGCACCTCCAGTGTCCATCGAAAAATATATGCTTATGTGCTTTAGGCTATATGGGTCTTAAACTAGGGGGTACACAATTTCTGTCGATGTTGTTCTTGTATCCCTCCCCCTTGACCTAATGACCCACTATTCTCCTAAGATTCTAACATGGTATAGAGCAGGTAGGTCTGTTAGGACCGTTTTTAATTTTTTTTCTAAGAACCTGCCCCTTCCGCTGCCCGTAGCGCGCCCCTAGTGCATAACTTTTCACTGCCCGTCGAGCGCCCCTAGCGCGCGCCGTATTTTCTGCCCGAAACAAGCCCCTATCAAACAAGTAGATCCCTACCCCGTGCGCACCTCGGTTACTGCTCTTCGCACGCCCCGTGCGTTGCCCCGTGCGCACCCCACTCGCTGCCTAGCGCGCACCCCGTACACTGCCCCATGCGCGGCCCATTTCGTGCCTAGCGCGTAGCCCGTACGCCCTGCCCTGCCCTTCCCCGTGCCTTACCGTTACCCTGCCCTGCCGCGCGGAGTCCGTACAGCCCGCACGCCCCTCGCGTACAGCCCGAACAGCCCGCGCAAGGCCCACACGCAGCCCGTACAGTTTGCGCCAGGCCCACACGTAGCCAGTACAGCCCGCGCCAGGCCTGCACGCAGCCCATACAGCCCGCGCTAGGCCCGCGCATAGCCAGTACAGCCCGCACCAGACCCGTGCGCACCTGCCCTGCCGCCCGCACACCTGTGTCAAACATTATATATGTTTCTGTTGTGTAGGCTACAGTGGGTTAGACTTTAGGGGGTACATTTCACTAGGGTTTCCTACTTGTACTCTCCAACAACTTTCTAGTTAATCACTTCTTGTTTCTGACATGGTATTAAGAGCTTAGCTTCTAGACCTAAGGGCCCACCGTTCCGCTAGAGGTGCCCTAGTGCGCCCCTTTATTTTTTAGCGCCCTCGTGCGCCTCTCCCCTAGTATGCCCTCGTGCGCTCTCCTCTCACGCTGCCCGTGTGCAGCCTGCTAGCAGCCCGAGCGCGGCCCCGCTGTTTTAGCACGCGTAGGAAATCGCCGCCTAGGGCGGCCCGATTTTTTCTCGCGAGCCCCAACAGGCCGTCGCCCGTAGGCCCTGCTCGCCCCTAGCCCGACGCGCGACCCACAGCCGCCCGCCCGCAGGTCGCAGCCAGCGCGCCGCGGCGATCGCGCGTCGGCTGCTGCAACTAGCGCTTAGCCGCCGCTCGAACGCAGCCGCGGCCCGCGCGCAGTCGCACCTTAGGTGCCGCCGCGCACCGAGCATAGGCCCGCCGTCGCGCCGCCATACCTACCCGAGCCGCGCCGCCCGAGTCGTGCCACCCGAGTCGCGCCGCCCTGACCGAGCCGCGCCGCCCTACCTACAACAACTGCTGTTCCTGCTCCTACTGCTACTACTGTTGCTACTGCCAGTGCTGCTACTACTGTTGCTATTGCCAGTGCTGCTACTGCTACTACTGCTACTGCTACTGCTACTACTGCTACTGCCACTATGGCCAGTCCCACTGTTCTCACCTTTTACGCCAAGGGCCGCCCGATTAAGTTCGATGTCTGGCTTGATGACCTCCACCTGTACCTCCAGATCACTGCCAAGGACGATGTTTCCCTCTATGACCACACGTCCGGCGCTGCTCCCGCACCTGCTGCTACTGCTGACAGTACTGCTCGCTCACAGTGGCAGACTCGTGACGCCCATGCTCGCCTAGCCATTCGCAGCCACCTGCCGTTAGATGAGCGCGAGCACTTCGGCCAGCATAAGACCGCTAAGGAGCTGTATGACGCTGTAGTTGCCCACTACTCCTCCCCTGCCACTGCTGCGATAGGCCGTCTCTCACTGCCCTACCTCTTCCCCGATCTGTCTGCCTTTGCCACTGTAGCTGACCTCATCACTCACCTCCGTTCTAGTGATCTCCGCTACCGTGCCGCACTCCCCCCCGATTTCCTAGCTAAGAACCCCCCCCCGATGTACC